GACAACAATAATGTCAGAGAATCAGGAATGTATTATTCAATTGTCATTTGAAATCAAATCTGTTTGCGAATATTCTATACTAATAATAATGCTAATTGATCAAGCCAACTGACGTGGTTCTCACAGTTTCAGCGCAGATCACAGTCAGCTGTGGCAACAGCGAACGTTTATTTATCGACGGACATCATGACTTTCTCAAGTGTACACAAGCGAGGAATGAAAAATTCGCCGAAGACCGCGCGCGCACGGGGAGGAATTTTCGCGTTCCCGAAACGCGATCCACGTGATAAACGGTTCAATCACGCAGAAATCCCGGCCCCGGAGAAAAGAAGGCGGCGTTGGTTACAAGCCGTGGGTCGGCGCTCCTGAAAAATAAAACACTGTCGGGTGGCAAGGATTTTTCTCTCCCGGAAAGTACTCTCAGGTGCGGCATTCCCGATCCCAAAGAGGCTTAAACGACAGAACGGGTCAGCGATGTTTTTATTTATTGTCCGGACGAGTCGCTCGCTTCTGCCTAGCACGTACTCGCCGCGTAATACATCTTTCCTTTTAGACTCTCACTGGATCGACGTCACCACGCCGGAGATAAGGTCAGCAACTGGTCCTCGATGGAATGGTGAAACCCCAATAGAGCTCTCCTGCAGTCGACAGAGAACGTTATGGGACGCTGCGAGGCGATACAAATCGGCGGCGAGTTCGCTTTCTCAGATCCGTAAAGTTGGTCGATCAGGTTCCATTCGACTATCTATTTTCTAGTTATTGTTCCGCGACGCGAGGACGCTGCAACAAGGCCACGATAGTTATGCAATGCATAAAATATTGTTATGAATGTGAAATTTTCGGGATATTTGCATTTTTATGGAAAAAGTTCTACGGTAATGGTTAGGCTAAATTTTCTTTTCGTGGCCATTTGTTTCTGTGAATTAAAGACGTCTTAATCGGATAACTGTGTTCGACCAGTATACTCGTCATGGAGAGTGGCAGTATTTTCTGTTACGACGAGTATACTCGTCAAACATAGCTAATTGGTTAAGCGAACTCTCTATTTTGAAGGGAGGTCGCTACTTTTTACGCTCGACGATTTTCAATAACGATTAAGTATAGAGAATTATTATAACATGATATACATATATTAATATAATATGTTATATTTATTAATATTAATATTAATATTCATAACAATTGAATTAGATACATACTTATATATATAAGTACGCTTCTAGAACCGCGATCTTTTGACACACACATTTTATGTAATATATATACTGTATATATGTATATATATATATAATATAATATATAATATAATCTATATATATATAAATTATTATATATATATATATATATATATAATAATATATATATATATATATAATAATATATATATATATAATTATATATATATATATTTAAATGAATGCTTAAATATTGATGAAAACAGACTTTTGCCCAACTTAGAAGAAAGAAACGGAAATAAAAAACTTAAAAGGTTAATACTAGAAATCTTTATCATGTGTCAGAATCGTCAATGTACGACGATGAGTTAACGAGGTGTTTATTTCATTCAAAACCTGTTGGAATCCGCGATGTGTAATTAGATATTGCCTCGGATTCTAATTTCAATAAATTAAGTCATAAAGGTCTATATTTACATGAATCTTTGGAATCTGTTCGCAATATATCTACATATAGACAGCTCATGATATTTTTGTCCGTATACAGAAAGTAGTTGAACTGATCGTGCATTTAAATGAAGCTAAAGAAAAAACGTAACGATGTCCTAAGTTTCAGTGAAAAATTACTGCCATTTACATACTCGAGTAAAGAACAGATCAAGAATTTGTTTTCAAGAAGTTTTCAAGAGTAAAACTTAATAGGTGAATGAAAAGTATACAGTTTTCACCAAAAGCAACATTCTGNATAATTTGGGAATAGGAAGTACGATTATTATATTATATATAAATATATATAATAATCTTACCTCCTCTCCCCAAATTGTCCATTTTCGTGTACAAGTGTACCGGCGGCCGATTAGTAGGTAGAATTTACTCCAGTTCCCGTGTCCTCGCCGATTAATCTGAATTGGTTGGCTCGGGCAAGGAAATTTCAGGCTGTAACTAGCCATCACGCGACGGAGCGCACGACAAGTATCCGCACGCTCGAGAAACTCGCGGTTCTGCGTCGCGTGTGACGTGGCACGGTCCGATTAGTCTCCTAATAAGGTCTCTCGCCTCCGCGTGCTTCGCCGCCTACGCGCGCCGCAAACAATTCCAGCGCCGCCGAAGGGGAGAGCGTTCCGTCCAGTTCGGCTCCTCGGGACAGCATGTCGGCGGGAGGGGGAAAAACAGGAAAATTAGTATGGACAGGGAAACGGGTCTGGGCTGTGTGCGGAAGGAGGAGCCCCGCTCGGCCGCCGGACGGCGTCCTCCTTTTTCGGAGAAACTGACTCGACAGACCGCAGGGGTGTAAACCCTCGTTCTGAATATGCATGACAGTTCCCTTTTTCGTCGGTGCCATCGTCGGATTTTCTCCGTCGGTCGGCGCCGTACGCGCTGCTCCCTCTTTCCGATGCTCCGCTCCTCTTAACCCGAGCGCCGGCCTCCCCCGCTGCGAAATTAACTCGCATTCCGAGCTTCCTTTGATGTCGCTCCAAATATGTGTGCCCGGCGTTCTGTGTGTGTGTGTGTGTGCGGCGCGCGCGCGTGTGTGCGAGCGACGACGATCGCCGGGCCTAGCGCCGCAGCTGTGCGAATGAGCATCGAATTCTGGATACGTGCACTCGCTTACAGAGATAACGATACATTCCTTGGCCCATTCCTGGACGGTAGATTACGCACGCGCTCCCGTATGTGAATTGACATCCCGGCTCGCCCATATTTCCCGCGGACAACAGCTTCTATTAGGATTGCATTACGCCTCTATTGTCACAGGCCCGAAGGCAGAGCCGCGGCGATCGTGTTTTGTTGGTTCGATTAATTCAGCATTTTTCGAAACGATTTAAACAAGTGTGTAACTATTAAGTCTACCGGAAAGTTCTGTCCGATATTGTCACTTCAAGTTTCAATCCATATGCACGTGTTGATTTGAGACATATATGACTATCTCTCTTTATCATTGCATTTACACACATGTACTCTCCTAAATTTTCTGAAACAAAGATGTATCATGTTATTATTAAGTGAGACGCGATCGTGAAAACATGGCTGCCGATGATAATGCCAGACCACATGCTGCTTCGGCGACTCATCAGAAAATCGCAGAGCTAGGCTGGGAAATTCTGTCGCATCCACCATACTCCCCAAACCTAGCACCCGAAGATTATCGCTTGTTTCTCTCTTTGCAAAACTTTTTACAGGAAAAAATTCAAAACCAAAGCTGATGTCAACCAAGCACTAGTTGAGTTCCTCGCCTCCACGCTGGCAAGAAGTCATCAGTAACGATGGAAAGTATATTCTACAATAAATATTATTAAATGTATGAAAATTGTGTTACATTTCAATTCAAAAACGGACAGAACTTTCCGGTAGACCTAATCAGTTGACAAGAATGATATTTGTATTGGGTTGGCGAGAAAGTAGCGTTATGCTTGCATTGTCATTCTTTTGTTAAGGTTATAATTCTTTTCTCTTCTGCTTTGGTAGTTGACACGATTAGGTTATAGAAACACTATAGAAACAAATTCGGTGCAGTTTTGTTTACAACTGATAGTTTGCTGTCAATTTTAACCACGGAGTTCAAAAATAAACATTTCCGACACATTTTACTTAAAAAAAAAAAGAAAGAAAGAAAACGGCCGAGGCTCGCAAAGAGATACGTGAAGTTTATGGTTATTAGTTTGGCAACAAAGTAATTTCGGTTTGCACCAATAGGTAGCGTTATGCTTGCATTGCAATTCTTTTGTTAAGGTTATAATTTTTTTGTTTTCTGCTTTGGTAGTTGACACGTTTAGGTCACTATAGAAACAAACACGAAACACTGCGTTTCGCAGTGCTTTAATGAACTCTTGGTCTATCATGTTCCTAGAATATAACATAGAAGAATTTTTATTGCTACTTTTGTGTTTCTAGATACTGTTAGAAGTTTGCTTCCTTACTGATCGTGTTGTAAGACACATTTTTCTACAGTCTGAGTTTACATTGCTTTGGCAATAAAATAATTTCGGTTTGCACCAATAGATAGTATTATGCTTGCATTGCCATTTTTTTGTTAAGGTTATAATTCTTTTGTCTTCTGCTTTGGTAGTTGACACGTTTAGGTTAATATAGAAACAAATTTTGTGTAGTTTTGTTTATAACTGATAGTTTACTGTCAATTTTAACACGCAGTGCTAAAGTGAACATTTTCGACTCATGTTACTGTTTTTATTTTCATTAAAGCAAGAATTCATTTATGGCTATTGGGTTGGCAGCAAAGTAATTTCGGTTTGCACCAATAGGTAGAGTTATGCTTGCATTGTCATTCTTTCGTTAAGGTTATAATATTTTTGTCTTCAGCTTTGGTAGTTGACACTGTATGAGAGATTGAAAAAAAGTTAAATGCATCGCACGCAACATTGGAATATATCACATAAGATGTCTTAGACTTGTTAAGGAGCTCGATGTTTGGATTTCGCATGAATTGAAAGAAATTCGCTTAATACGATGAATTAATATTTGCGATACGCATTTTAAACGTAATGACCTGATATTATTTATTAAACAGACTCTAATGGCTTTAATCGCATTTCGAACGTAGCTTGATCAAGAATGCGTCAAACATCGAATGAAATTCTACATACATATCGCTATTAAATTGAGAGACCACGGAATTGGCCGAGCGATTTTGGGTTATGATCGTTGGCGGTTCGCTTTGTTGCACGCAAATAGTTGCAAATCAATTTAATTGGCCGATGTCAATCCTTTTCGCGATTTAACGTTCTGTGGAGCGAAGTATGAATGTAATAACGAACAGATATTTTGCTTCGTAAACGAGATAGATGGAGCGAAAATGTGTTTTGTCTTCTTTTCAGCGGAAAATCTTCTTCCGCAACAAAAAAACATTTCACTCGTGAAAATCTTGCTTCACATCTTAAAATGTTATTTCACAAAATTCTATACAGAATTCGATCAGCAAATTGATAATTTTATTATGAAAAAGTATTGCGCAAATTTTTAAGATATCTTCAAATAAAAAGAAATTTTTATCTTCAATCGTTTTCGCTGATCGAACTGAAATTTCTCTGTTCAAGGTCACGCGAAGATCACGCCTATGGCAGCTCGTTGAATTCGCCTTGACACGAGCTACGTTAATGCGAAGTAGAAAATATGCAGCGCCATTTAAACAAATTAAGGTGACCCCGATTCTTTATCGACAAAGTAACAATTTTCTAAAATCAAATGTTTCGTCGTATAGCAAACAGGGAATCGATAAACATTTGTTCGAAATATCTTTTTTTTTGTTATTAACAAAAGTGCACCGAAAAATGTGGACGAAAGTTACGTAAACACCCAGTATACATATTTCATCGAAATAATATTTTCGTGCAATTTTCTGTTCTAGATAGAAATACACAAGAAATTACAGCACAATACTAGAGAATCCGTATAATGTTCCGAAGAACTTGCGATTACGTCGCGCCGATCTTACCGTGCGGGGAGCTCGAAGGAATTTTCGACCGTCTGCACATTGTTTTCTATTTTTATATCCTGCAATCGAGACGGAGGACTTTAATATTGCGCGAAGTCTCGCAGAGCCCGGCTTTGATATTTCTGGAAACAGCCTCGAGCCGGTGCGCGCGGAAACCTAATATTTTGCAGCTCTCGAGCTCGTGATCAACCCGCTTGATTTCACATTCAGTATCTAATTCCGTTCCTACGGGATATATTTGGACGTGTATTGTGATTTGTAGGCCGACGTTAACCCCATGACACGTGTCGCGGCGCGCGCGGCGTGCACGCGTTGCAACACGATGCAACGGAGCTCGCGTGTAGCCCGGCCACGTTCCACGGGCGCAGCGAAACCTGGAAAGGGACGAAGCAATTTCATAATTGCTTTCCTTCCTCGATGGCTCAACCTGGAGCGGGGACC